TGCTGAACGAGTGACGAAAAAGGTGTAATGTGCATTGTGTAGTGTTGTTGCCGTTATGTCCGTGGGCCGTGGGCCGTATCTGTACAGTTACGCCCATAAATGTTGCTTAGTACTCATACCAGCCAGCCAGCCAGCCAGCCAGCCAGCCACTGTACAAGCCCGACTCCGAGTCATGCCTGTGCTAGTGTGTTAGTGCCGCAGAAAGCACTCTGAATGATAGCTTCCTTTCTCGTACTAGTGCTAAATCCTCATCCTCATCCTCACGGTCCCCCGACGTACTATACTATCATTGCCGCAGCGCGCGCCAAAACGGAATCTGACTAGTGCTGTGCGTGTTATGTGTGGGGTGGTCAGATTTCGGAATCGAGGGTAATGAGTCGGTTTGGTTCTTGGGCCCGGGGACAGCTTTGACTTGTGACACGGAACTAGAAAATTTCTATGTAAGTAGCAAGTCATCAGCGCCGCCGGCAAGCACGTTTTCATTATGGTGTGCTCGGTCGCTGAGGGAAATATTTCAGGATGCATATACCCGCTTCTCGGTTTTTCTTTACCGTTGAATATTGGGATAGCTTGAGCTGTCGGGTTCGAAGATGAACATCCAGATGGTCAATCCGACCCAGTCAGAATCTCGACAAGGTTTAGGCAACCTGAGTACTAGTACCAAGCGTCCAGCTACGGTCAACGAGTCGGAAGTCGAGCCGACAACATATAAGTATGTGTATTGCGTTCTGTAGGACACCAAGGACTTACATACCCCCGAAGGATGGTCTCCAAAATTCTGAGCTGCAGGGTCCGTGGTCAAGTTGCGAATATGTAGTGACAATCCAGCATCCCGTCCTGGAAGTTAGCCGTAAGACCTTGAAGCGAACTCGGGTCTGAAGCCAGGCGAGTCCCCAAGCTCAAGCTCAAGTTTTGGACTTGCTCTGTGAGTGCGGAATGTGAGTACGCCAGATGACTTTGAAATTTGAGACTCGAGACAGGTTGCGTACGACTCGGAAATTTCGGGATGCCCCCAAGGCTCGGAGCTCTCCGCCGCCCAATGGGTCCCCCCCCACTCGCCAAAACCTGAGCTCGGTATGTAGGATGTTGAGAAGAATCGTACGACCAGATAAAAGTCCAGTGGTGATAGGCACCCGAGCGAGCTCTTCTCCAATTAGGCCGGGTCAACCAGTCGGGGAACGATAACCGTCGCATAGACGACATATCTCGAGGTGTGGCGTTCGGGTTTCAAGGAATTTACATATATGGCACAAATACTGTGTAAAAATTGTTGGTAAGATTCGAGTGACTCTGTGAGATACGAGTTCGGCATGCGAGACTTCATTTTGAGCAGATTTTGAGTATAAAACTCGGAACGGAGGGGTAAGATCCAAGTGAGACTTGAGTCTGCGTAACCTGCGATTCAGGAGGAAGATCTCTCGATTCAAATGAGCCATCACGGGGTAGGACAAAGGAGTTAGTTGTCCCTGTGAAGGAACACCGCTTCGTCCGGAACGCGACGCCCGAAGTTCTCACGCATGTGCCTCATGTTCTGTCTTGCCCTCTTGCCACCAACATTGCTGCGATCGTGCTTCATCGTTGCGAGAACCCCCTTTTTTTTTACACTCACTCAGTAATAACAGAAGACTACAAGTAATGGAACTGGGAAACAGACGGAGAAGAGTAAAATGCCGACTACGCGTAAGTGAGAGCAGCAGAAGACGGGCTGAAAGTGATTTTCTTTCCTGTTCAAGGTTGGCCGGTCGCCATCAATCACTCCCGCAGGTTCCGCATTGACTTTACGGGGAATACACCTCGTTGGCCCAGGAGAAACCAGACAGAGTGTTTGTGAATCATGACGCTGAGATCACAGAGGGGATCAAATTCTTTGAATCTCGTGAGTTTGATACAGGTTGTGAAGATGGAAACTGGGGAATTAGTATCTACTAAGAAGCAGTAATACTCATGGAACAACATGTTGATAGCTTGTAATAATGATTTGGTTACACTACTCTAACAGGTACCTATGAGCTCCATATTGGAGGCTGCATCTGACATGTATAAGGCACACTGCTCGCTCACGCACAAGTAGAGATAATAATATTATCTTGATTTCGTCGACATTCAACACCAGCGCCTATAGCGACAGTACAGTCGCACCAAGCGCCGGCAGCCGGCAGCAAGCAGAATGTTAGGCAGTGAGAACTCCGGGTTCATCCTCCAAGGTCGGGGTTTCCACCAAGGGCTACCTTGAAATCAACAGGCCTCTGTGAATCCTAGCGACTTGGGAAATAGAATGAACCACCACGTGTTGGAGGGCATGTGTGTACCTAAACTTCTTTAGAACTCACGTCCGAGATGTTGGCCGATTCAAATCGAGCAGGGGATCCGACTCAAAATTTGCTGAAGTCTCTGCATATGAGGTAAATCCCACCCATTGAAAGTCCATCGAGAAAGAAATCTCACAGGCTGAACTCGAATCTCACATCACCCGAATCTCACTGATAATTTTTACACAGTATTTGTGCCATAGACTTGCTCTGTGAGTGCGGAATGTGTGAGTAGGCTCAACGACTGCCAGATGAGTCTGAAAATCTGAGAGACCAGGTTGCGTACGACTCGGAATTCCCCAAATGTGGTTCCCCCACTCGCCAAAACCTGAGCTCGGTATGTAGAATGTTGAGAAAAATCGTACGACCAGATAAAAGTTCAGCGGTGATAGGTACCCGAGTGAGCTCTTCTCCAACTAGGCCGGTCAACCAGTCGGGGAACGATAACCGTCGCATCGACGACATATCTCGAGGTGTGGCGTTCGGGTTTTGAGGAATTTACATACCCCAGATGATCGATGGTGAAGGTAGGGACGAGGAGAAGTCTGACAACGGAAATTTTTCTTACAGCAGGGGCCAGCAACTCCGAACTCAACGCCCGAGAGACTAGAGTCCATACTGACTGTTGTATGTTGAGCATTGAGACCTCCTCGCTGTCAGATCCTCTAAAGGGTCCACTGCATCACTCGTTCAATCAAAACGTTGAGAGAGATCTTGACGAGCTCGAGAACCTATCAAAAGTCAGCCCAGTCGCAATGGGTTGGATGGGACATATCTCACTTTATACCGGCATTCACTAGAACCTCCGAGCTCGGTAGTATTAGCGGTTACTCAACCTTTGGGAGAGAAAAGAGCGGACATCGTCATGTTTTAATCGTTACTCACAATGTGGCGTAGAGATTGAACCTCCGAGCATACATACTTCAAGACCCGAGTGGCTTTAGCGATCGATTGATTGCGTAGTGTTCCGTGTGTCCATATGTATGCCGATGTACACACCTTCGGAATCGGAGGCGAGTTTCTGGAGAAGTGGGTCCTGAAGATATTTCGGGATTTGCGAGCAACCCTGCGCCTGCTTTCAGATTGGGATCCGAACTAGTAGGAGGGTATCGATGACGTGCTTGGAGGTCATCCACGCCGGAGGCGGTTGGTCGATGTTCGATGTTGGTGAAAGAAAGAGAGGGGGGGAGACGCGCGCGTGCGTCGGTAGCAGTATCTCGCCACGTGGCCCAGACGCGTCTTCGGATCGGCGTCCCGGATACCGAAACCCGAACGACCACCATGTTGTTGGCACTACAAACTACTCCGAGTCTCCATCGATGGAGAGTGAGCTGGGTTAAACGTCGGCAATCCAACACAAGGGATCGTGACATGCGAATCCACGACTGACGAGGTAGATGTTTGAGAGAACGAAGGGTGTCGACGGACGTCGTTCTTGGAAGGGTTGGAATCTGGGGGAAGCAGGTTGAGACTGCAAAGGATTCGGCCGTGTTTGTCGTTCATGGTATGTCTCTTTCCCCCCACTCGTTCTACCTGACAGTAACGTGTTCAGAATCCACCTTATACGATGCTGCACGCGATTTCGCTGGGATACCCGAACAGCGAGATTCGCCATGTACGCATATGCGAATCGAGACATGGATGCAGGTTTACAGCCGGGCGAGTCGACGCCTCTGCTGAATCTGAATCAACCCGTGCCGCGTTTAATTTTCTTTTCATTCCGCAAGGTATAGGTATTTGTTGTCATACCGCATCCATCAAGCTTCCACGGCTCCGTTCAGCCTTTGAGGTACTGAGGTAAGTGTGTCTGTTACCTTGTACTCATCTCACCGGAACGATCAACCTGGTTTGTTTACCTCCTGGCGTCTTGAAGCTTTACCTCAGGCTGACGACATTCTTCGAGTTGTGAATGATCCTCGGAAGGGCAGTCTTTTTTGTTTCTTCCAACCAACTTCCCTACTTTCCTTCATTTTTGGTGGGAGGTCTTCGATCCGCGGAGGAATGGAAGGGACACGGGGACAGACGCCCACCATGTTAACGTTTGCCGTTGCTGTTACCTGTATCATGTCTCTTTTGTCCTGTTGGACTTGGGGCATGGTGATCACCACCTCATCTCTTCTTCGGACGCGTACCGTGTTTACTCTCTTTTGTTCTGTTGCCATTGGAGTATGTTGGCCACCTCATCTCTTTTTGTCAGCCTTTCGATTATTAACGAGCTTACATTCCACTACTACTCATCATGGAGCTATTACTATTAGTACGATACAGCGAATTGACTTCTGCCGCTGGAATGTGATGATTGATGTGTTGCTCTTCCATATGTGATGTGATGTGCATGACGAACTTCCTCGGCATCAAAGTTCCATTGACGACGAGACGGATTTGGTATGTCTTATTTCTGATTCTAATTCAACGCCTCCTATCAAGAAATAGAAAACAGAAAGAGTGGGGGTCGGCCCTGAACGGGAGCGAGCGTTGCGGTCGCCATGAATGATAGCAGCACGACCGCGAGTTGCTTACTTACTCGTCATCGGGAGCTGTGCTCACCGTATGCGTATAGATTGTTTTGTTGCTTCTCCCCTGGACATGGGCTCAACATAACGAAAACTTGGGGACTTGGGAAGACTACGCTGAGAAGAATGAGAGCGCTGATTTAACAAAAAATCAATAAAATGTATGTTCTCCTGCCTATGCATTAAGAGGGAATCGAACCCCCGGCGGGTCGATTAACATCGACAGCCCGTGATGGCAACGACCCAGGTTACCACTACCCCATTAATGCGCTATCTGTCAGAGTGCTCGTCGAGGCTATGTCACTGCGTAACTTGTCCGTTTCGTTGATAGCACGTTTTTTTGTAATTTAAACCATCTTTGTAATTTTATTCATTTTGAATTCTTTATCCTGTATCCTGTATGCCCAAGAAACCTTCCGAGTCATCATCATCGTATGTACGGTGTACAAAAAAAAAAAAAAAGTCATAAGTATAAGAAAAGGAGTGTTCTATCCAGTTTGAAGTCCATGTTCATGAGGTAAGGGTAATAGAAGGGGTATGTAATGTAACGTGTTGTTGGGGAATCTAGGCAGCATGTAGTAGCATGTAATAGGCCAGGTTTGTATGATGAATAATATAGCTCTTTTTTGAAATCGAGTCTACTGGTGGAGCGTTGGGGGTATCGACAAGCGCCTCTGTAACACGCGGGAGTTGTGTGCATGGGGAGAAGCCGGTTGGGGGGGAGTTTTTGTAGTTGTCGTTGGCGATGGGAAGGTAGGGGGAGCAACCTGCAACGTCTGCGCCCTAAGCCTGACGATAGCTGTGCCATTCCTGACGAGCTCTAGGAGACGGGGATGGTTGACAACGCCGTTCATGAACAGCCCCGTCGGCATGATCCCTTGTCCGTCTTTAGCCAAACAGATACGTGTAAGAGAAGCACACTGAGCGATGATGAGGAATATATCCGAGAACAACGTCGGCACGGGGGTCTGGAACGAGTGCAGCCTGGGCAACGAAGCAACCGCCCGTGCGAGATGCGTAAGCGGACCGGGTGTCGTCGCAGGCTCGGACATTTTAAAGTCGACGCTGACAACCTCGAGCGATCTCCAGCTCTTCTCCACGTTCTCCGCCAGCAGATGGATGAACGACCGGACGTTGGGCATGGAGAGGTAAACCGCTGCGGCCGACTTGCGTATCGTCAACCGGGTTAAGGAGGTGAGCCCCTCGAGCGCTCGCACGAATTCGTCATCAATCTCCTCGTCGACGAGTTCAACGTCTAGCTCTTTCAAGTCCTTCCCAGCCGCTTCGAGTATCTGGGTGGCGTCCTTCCCCCTGGCCCCTCGTAAAATGACCTTTCGAATCAACGACGCATGTTTGAGTGGAATCTCCCTCGCCGTCGGTAGCGTAACAGTGTGGTATACGTGCGGTAGTCCAATCCTACATAGCGCCTTGGATGCCAATAAGACGTTCGTCCCAACTGGCGAAGAGAATTGGAGGATGCTGTCTGTGATTTCTTCTGGGAGAGTGAGCATTGTGAGTTGGGGGGGATGTAGGTTTTCGAGTTTCACCTGGGCTTTATGCTCTCTATTTAATTAATGTAACGTCTCGAACAGGATCGACGGATTTGGCTTCTTCGGCCCATGATAGTGGTACCTTCGGCAATCGGAGTTTTTGATCTGGTGTGTTGCTCCTTTTGGATGTCCCTTTCGATGGTATCTCCGCCTCGGGAACCAACTTGACGTTATTATAACGGCTCGTTGCCAGGCCCTTCATGTGCCATTACCTCTTCAGAGAGGGCTGGAACTGAATCCTGATGTTCTTCATAATCTTTTTATCCTCGCACTCTCATCTTTTGTTCCTCTCTTTCTCTCCGTCTCATAGCTATGCACACTCGGATCATCTCCCAATATTGCGCAAACATTCCTGTCACTTTCTTCCGACATAAGCGATGTTGTGTGTTGTGTGTTTTTCTTTCTTTTGCCCTTCTTCGCGTGCCTCGCCTTGGAAACATTCACATACCTAACATCCCATCCCCCGCTCCCCCCGCTTCTCCGCCGAACGAATGTCAATGACGCCTAACCATCCATCCATTCCACAGTACTCCATCCCTGATCCTTTTTTGCTCGCCTCGCGGTCTTGTTTTTTTTTATCCCTCGTACTCGTTGTTGACAGTGACAATCAACAAATCAAAGACGAACGTGAATCCCTTCTTCCTTCTTCGGGACGTAATAAAACATTCAGGAGGGTATACTCTCCGGGCCCGCGACCGCGACCGCACGTTGATTCGAGCAAATGAAACGTTGACAATGAAACCCCCCCCCCCCCCCTCCTTAGATTACTTACATCAACAGATGCCGGTCTCCTAACTTGCGAAAGTAGGGAAATTTTCTGGGGCCCGTGTCACAAGTCAAAGCTGTCTCCAAGGACCCCAAGAACCAAGACGGCTGCTACCCTCGATTCCGAAATCTGACCACCCCTGGACACCCAACACATAACAGAATAACATCGCACAGCCGTTTTGGCGCGCTGCGCCTCTTGAACGCCGCTGCGGCAATGGATAGTATTGTAGTACGTCGGGGGACCGTGAGGATGAGGAATTAGCACTAGTACGAGAAAGGAAGTTATCATTTTAAAAGTATTTTTTTGCACTTTGCACAGGCCTAGGCAATGAGTCGGGTTTGTACGGTCACACAAAAGCTTGACTGGGAGTATTGTACTTATGGGCGTATATCGCACACGGGGATGGCGGCATTGCACCTTTTTTTTTCGTCACCGTCACTTGGTGCAGCATCATGATCCACAGAGCTCAAATGTAACGACATCCCACCCTCTCGAGTCTCGATCGTCGCTGGAAAGGAACGGACCATTCCAATTTCCACCGAGGCGCCCCGACTCGGATACTTGAGCTTTCAGGACTCAGGACTCAGGAGTGATGCAAGCCACAAATTTGAAGCGGTATAGCGGCACTCACTAGACGCGCAGCATTCCCTCCGGCGTCCGCAGGTCCCAGAGGTTATTCTCCAAAATCCAATCAATACTCAATACTCAATACTCAAATAAAAAATCAATTTCGCCAATGTTTTGAGTTCCGAACTACTGCTGACGCGGACGGAGATCAGGCCTCAAGCTAGCGGGCTTGGAATATCAATATGACCACTCGGATATTGCTGCACCCACACACGGAGATTGCATCGAACACCTTAAGTACCTGACAATTCCCACCCAAACCCCATACTTTCCACTCTCCATTCCTTCTGACGTCCGTTCATAGTGGACGTATGTAGCGCTAGATCTGAAAGTCTAGAACCCATAACCCAGTGGCAGGATCCGAGGGGGGGTTCGATGTACGTTTTTTCGATCATGGGCGTTGAATGTTGAACGTTTGAGCATCCACAGAAAGGAACTCACCATTACACTGACAGTGACACCGACTCGGATAACTTGAGACGAGCCAGAGAATCAGGCCGCCGGTGCAGTAAGTATGTATGTATAATGTATCCCGGACTCCGAGCCAAAAGAAAAGAGAATGAAAATCAGAATCACCACAGCTAGTGACTGGTTTCGAGTGTCCCCCCAAGTTCCGAGCGTTTTTTTAATCTACGGAACTACAGCCCACAGCGATCGCGGTTTCCCTGTCAATGACAGTTATATGAAGGGCAGAACAAAAATCGAAAAACAGCGCCTCGGATATGAGATACATGCGTACGAAGCACGAACATTGAGCGCTTGAGCACCTCCTCTCTCCAGGCTCCCACCTAAACCCCAACCTTCCACGCTCCATTCCTTTTAATTCCGTGCAGAGTGGATGAAACGACAGACCTCCTGTTTACCTATATGGCTTAGTGGGTCTAGTATCCGCGGTGCACGGTCGGCATGGATGTCGATGAACTGCCGCGGCCCGCTTTGCGGCTCCTTTCTTCATTCTCGAAATCATTAAGCCTGTGACGCGACTGTACTGGTTCCTTCAACGAATTTGTTGTCAAGGTACTTGGTGATAATTGACAGGAAAATGTAAAATGTACCTGAAAATCCCAGTGGTGTATGACTCTGACTCTGAACTGAGAAGCTAGCTGAAGCTCCTAACAAAGAATAAAAGAGGTTAGGGCGCGTCGCACGATGAAGTCAATAGCCAAGAAACTCGAACAAAAAAAGAAAAAGAAGAGCGTGTAACCACCCACGCGCTAGCGTCCATTCCAATCAACAATCGTCGTCGAGTTAGAGTTTGTTGAGGAGAAAAGAAAAACAAAAGCACGAGGCTCACAATTGAAGGGACGCAAACAACTTTGATCCAAGAAAATAGTACTGCGTGGTGCTGCAACTCAACTCTTGATAGAGAGATTGAGATTTCTCTGTCTGTATCGCGAATCGAAGTAGACTAGATAGCTTGTCCTCGTCAATCGATCGAGGAAGTGGAATCCTGTAACTGGGCGTGATCAGCAGCGCGAAATCGAAATGAAAGAGGTATTGAAAGGCACCGCAGCGGACGAAAGAGAGTTTGAACAATGCAGTATAGTCTCGTTCCCGACTATCTTGGCGTGGTGGTAGTAGTGATGTAGAATGGAACTCTGACTCTGAGAAAACGCAAAACTTAAACAAAAGAATTGAGGGTGTACCATACCTTGAACAGAACAACAGAACAAAAGAAAACCAAACTCAAAACGGTGGGCGTCTGTTCTGTGTTGGCCTTCCATTATCCGCGGGAGGGCGCCTCCACAAGAAATGAAGATAGAGAAAATAAGAAACAAAAAGCTCTTCCCGGTTGTCTGGGAATCGAGAGGTTGGTGCGAGGGAGCGTATCGAACGAAAAAAACGAACCATACCTATCAAGATGGCGTGGAGTTTGTCCTGTATCACCACTCCATGTGCATGTAAAAAGGAGGAGAATAAGACGGAAGGTTTGCAACGAGCTTGGAGCCTCTGCTATGGACAGAACGAAAAGGAACGGAATTGGGTGCACAGGTGAATAAGGGATCAGCGAAATAAAGGGAGACAACAGATTAACTCACAGACAGTGATTCCTGTTCGTGTCCCGATCTGCAGACGTGTAAGCAGTAAGCAAGAGCTAAGAGCGCACGGGTGAAGACCCTTTGTGCAACACAGAGAACGCAGATCTCATACGTTGGGAAACGAAGGGCTTGGTCGATACAATAGCTCAAGGCCTGGCGATACAAGAATACGCGCGATGCAGTTCCCAACTTGTCACTTCCGTGTACTCTTCTTGCGACTGGACAGACCCAGCAAACTTGCGTGCAGCATCATACGAGGTGAATTCTGAACGCGTCACAGTCAG